TGATACTTGTAACTCCTAAGAACTTTATTGTTATTAGGGCAGCTTAATGGATGCAGGTCTCCTTCCACCATCCTCAGAGTACATACTCACACCCACAGCTATTATTTGTGCTGATGGCCTCTGTTATACCAATCTCCAGCTCAGATTTCATCAGTTGATTTGCCTACATCTGTTTGTTTGGCAAGGAAGACCCCAGCTAAAGCTTGCCACCATTCTAGTGGGGCTCCACTCAGAAGGTAGGATCTAACTGTCCCTTAGACTGGCTGGTTATAAAATGTGACAGGGTGAGGAGGGGCTGCATAAAACCATCCTGCCAAACCCATTCCCTTCATGAACTTCATCCCCCCCTCTCCTGAAGATCTCCATTGGGAAGCCAGATTCAACAGAAATACATTTTTATGGAGCCAAGTATGAATAATTCCCCATCTCACAGCCACCTAAAAAGGGACAAAAGGTGATCCCTATCTGAAGCCACTAATTGACTTATCTAACATTGTAGCAGTAAGTTCTCAGAGAGCTCCATAAGACTATGAAAGTCCCTTGCAGGGAGGGTCTCTGCATTTGATCAGTTAAATCATTCCCTCAGAAACTACTGCTCCAGTGACTCATCAGGTTGCTTGCTTGAATTTCCCTTGTAACCTACAAAGCTTTTTTTTTTTTTTAACAAAAGCTGGCACACCCCTTACTCGCCTAGCAGAGAGAAACAGTCCGGGGTGCAGTATTAGGGTAAGCCTGGGGCTATCTTATCATCAGTAGGAGCATCCAAATGCTTTCCTAACTACTATTCTCATGCTCCTCTTATAGCTCTGATTTCAGAGGGATGCCGTGTCAATTCTGGGTCAGGTCCAAACGTTCTGAGCCGCAGACCACTGGTTTCCAATCCCTTCAGGAGGGCTTCCTCCACATATGTGGTCCCCAGATCAATTAGCTGGCCCTTGGCCTTCAGAGCATTTTGTGTACTATACATAGGATGCACATAGCTGAAAGCTCTGTTTCTAGTTACTTAATACAGTGGGCCAGTTTACTTTCAATCTTCTTATGTTAGCAATCCAACTTCTGCTGGATGGCAAAACTTCTGCCGGATGACCACTAATAACCAGGGAACGCTGGACCTTTTGCGGTCAAAACCCCTCTGCCAGTTTCTTCTAGCATTCACTGAGTTACATTCTGCATCCAGAGTCTACTCTGTTCCACTGAAAGGGCTCTCCACACATGATCAAAAGGACCCTAGCAATCATGAATCACTGGGAGGTGTTTGGCCATCCAAATACCCCACACTTTGGATTTGCAGGGCCTTTCTCTCAACTAAGCCATAATGTGAGCCACTAGGCAATCTTGACCCAAGTATCAATGCCACTAAATTAGTAATGAGCATAATGCTAGCACCCTGTTTGTTGTTCAGTCCTTTCAGTCCTGTCTGACTCTTTGTGACCCCATTTGGGGTTTTCTTGGCAAAGATACTAGGCAAAGATACTAGAGTGGTTTGCCATTTCCTTCTCCAGCTCAATTTACAGAAGAGGAAACTGAGGCAAACGGGGTTAAGTGACTTGCCCAGAGTCACAGATTTGAACTCAGGTCTTCCTGAGTCCAGTCCATGTGGGCCACGTAGCTGCCATTAGCATCCTGTTCAGGTTCGATGTGGGGATGAAATAATTCATTGAACAGTTAAAAGGAGATTTACTTTGCCCCAATACAACAAGAACATGCAAGAAGGATACAATGACGCTTAGCTTCAGCTTTGGTAGATGTGGCCTCCCTTGACTCCTTATGGAAAAAGGTCTGGTGAAAAGGTCATAATATAGTAACTCAAGTGGTACCCACCAAGTCCGAGAGGGGCAGACTCCAAACAAATAGGACTGTTTACGTACTTCAGTGATCAGAAAGCTGTATGAAGGGAAATAGGAACCAATCCTCTGAGGAAATTTTGTCTCCTTTTAGGGAAAATTAATCTCTAGGGAAGGGAAGGTGTGGAGAAGAGGGTGGGGAAGAATGAGCCTAACCAAAACCGTGAAGTCTGGGGGATGGCACAGGCCTGACCCATGTTTGGGGGAAACATGGTAGATATTAGTCCCATTATATATAGCTGTAGTTTGGATTTCTTCCCTTGGGAACTGCTGGTATCCTGCAATTATTTATCAGTTACAAGTGGCTTATAGTCATAAATTTTAATCAGTTCCTTGTATATCTTAGAAATGAAACCTTTTATCAAATAAATTTGCTGCAAAGATCTTTTTCTTCCAAGTTATTTTCCTTCTATTTTTGGCCACATCAACCATGTTTGTACAAAAATGTTCTAATTTTATATAATCAAAATTGTCTAATCAATCTTTTGTGATTACTCCTTGTTTGGTCATGAATTCTTCCTATTTGACTATGTGGTTTTTATCTCCTGTTCTCCTGTATAGCTTAGAAACATATATCCTTCTCTCCAATCTGAGGCAGCCAGGTGGCACAATATTGTATGGCTACTTGTATTATTTTCTTTGATCAGGAAACTGGATTTCTGCTTAAACATTTCCAAGAGTTTTCAATTTGGAGATTCTTCAATAGGTGATTAGTTTTTTAAACTCCTGTTTTACTTCCAGGAACTCTAAATGATCTTTTGGCCAAGATTCTTTTGGATTTTGCTTATAGGTGTTTTGGGGTCATTCTTCTATTCTGAGTTTGTATCTTGGGTACTCTTACCATAATAACTCTAGCTTTTTTGTTGACCCATTCTTCCCTACTTCTTTATACTGAGACTTTGACAGGGCTAGGCACTGAGCATTTCTGGTGAGACCATCATGGCCTTGTATGATCCTGGTTTGTCTTACCTCTTGTTCAAGTGATAGAGCTGTGGTCCTGACATTCACCCAGAGTCTAGGTCCTAGACTTCATCTCCCAGGTTAGAGAAACAACCATTGCCCTTTTCTCCTGAAAGGGTCTGGATACAAGATCCCCTTCTACTGGTTAAGATAACAGCATCAACAGCACCACAGCCCCAGTGTCTGGGAGCTGAGTCTTAGATTCTCACACTACCACTTGCTCCAGCTCCTAAGTTTAGCGGCCAGGCCAGGGGGTATAGTCCAAGGTCCCTTCCTTGGGGAACTCGGGGGCAGCTAGGTGGCGCAATGGATAAGCTCTAGCCTTGGAGTCAGGAGGATCTGAGTTCAAATCTGACCTCAGACACATGACATTTACTGTGTGACCCTGGGCAAGTCACTTAACCCCGATTGCTTCATCAAAAGGCAAAAAAAAAAAAGTCTTAATAGATAAGAACTCTCTGTCCAGGGACTGAGTCGAAAACCTCAAATCCACCCTCTGGGGATCAGGAATAACTACACCAGTACCAAGGCCCTTTTCTTCACCCCGGATCTGAGTCCAAGATACCTATTATCCTGGTTCTGTACCCAGGGTCTCATTTAATGATCTGTCCTGCCCTTGTTCCACATTTCATGCCCTTGGTCATTTGCTTGTGGGTTGAATTTTTGATCTTCTGCTGATGACCCACTGTAGCTTCTCCTTAGATTTCAGATTACTACTCAATCTCATCTGGTCAACAAGCATTTATTAAAGGCTCATATTACTATGTGCCAAGCAAGCACTGTGCTAAGCACTGCAAATACAAATACAAGCAAAAAGCCTTCAAGGGACTTACATTCTAATTGGGAAGACAAAACATGAAAGCAAGCTGAAAGGGAGGGGAAGGTGAGAAGGGACTGGCCTAAGTACAGCCTGGTGGAAAACAAAGAGCACGTGCTGTCTGGCAGTCTTCTGAGACCTTTGTTCATGTAAATGTGGGGAAGCTGGATTGCACTGCTTCCTCTTACCTCGTCCCCTTGGTTGCTTTCTCTACTAGGTGCTTACCCCTCAATGTAGCACTTGACTTAAATCTGTCAAACTTCTTTAGAAAATAGTTTATCTTAGCAATCTATTTGCCATTTTTAGGCAGCAACAACTTAAATAGATTAGGTTGTACCTGCCTCAATTTCAGGCCATTGCTTTTCATGTTTAATTCTTTCTTTCGGTTTGGCATTGACTTTGACCTTTGCTCTCATAGGTCAGTAGTCTGATTCTACAGAGACAGTTGATTCAAAAATAACTCCCCCACCTATTGGCAAGCAGTAGCTTTCTGTCTATTTAAACAAATTTAATTTTAATTTTAGTGTTACTATTTGGTACCTACCATGTTGAACATTTCCCAATTCTCCTCTTGGAGAAAACATTTAAGTAAGTCTTCTGTTTAATCCTGCATCATGCTTTCCATCATTATTTTTGCCACTCTCATTTGTTTACCTTATCTTTTCACTGGAGTTACCAAGTATATACTAATTTAACTTTATGGGTATCTGAATTTTTTCACAGAATTTTTAAAATTCTGTTCCTATATATATAATTACGGTGGTCTTATAAATGTTTATCTGCACACTGCAAGATAACTAAATATTCTATGCAGTAATTCTCTTGTTGGTTTAGGACACGTAAAAAACCAATTGCAGCAACTCCTTTACTTGCTTCAAGGAGAACGGAGTCATGCTGTTATTTTACTTCAACTTCCTTTTTGTCTTCTGATTTTATTTATAATGAAGATGTCAAGATTGCTATTATTCAATTCCTCTGGTAGTATTATCCGCTTAATGGTCAATGGATAACAATTCCATATGTAAGAAACCAACAGCTAAGATAATTTTTATTATAGACTGCCTAAAAAGGCTGGGATTCTTAGCACTCTCTGGCACTTTGTCCAACACTGTCACCATCACAACAGATTCGGAAAAGTACCCCAAAGTACTACGTCCATTTTAATTTTTTATTCATTTCATGTATTGATATGGCCAAAGAATCCATCACACCAAGCGGCTGGACTACTAGTGAGAGCTTCTCCAGACTTAGTGTAGCTTTTTTCTTTTAAATTTTTTTTTCATTGAAAATAGATAAAACTGTGGTCAGGAACATGAAAGGAGTCTTTGCAGCATGATCAACGTCAGAATCTTTTCTGTTCAATAAACAGTAGTACTTAAGACGTTAAATTTTAAAATTTTATTTGGAAGGTTTTAATAACTCCCTAGAAATAATACATATTAAATTATGCTTGTACTCAAGATTATCAGTCAATATATTATTTAGGTGGTCTGGATATTTAAAGTTCATTACAACAAAGGAGGCTTTAAAATTAACTGATATGGTATACAAATAAAGTTAGATTGATTACAAAACAGCAACTAAGCATGATCTTGACAGTAGGAACTATCAAGAGGAGTTTCATGTAAAAATAAAACAAAGCCTTTCAATTCAACATTTATTAAGAACTTGCTACACTCATACTTTTCAACATTTATTAAGTAAATACAATATGCAAAGCACTATGCTAAGCACTGGCATTATCTCATTGAATTTATAGCCTAGTAGCAACGAAGAAAAATATATTTATTGCACTTACCCATATAAGGTGTATGATGGTTTCATTCAAGTCATAAATTAATCTATGATTAAGTACCATGTAATGTACATCTCAAGTTAAACCAAAGGTCAATGTAAAATAAGAATATGTAATAATTAACATGGCCACAACTGTGTTAAGGCAATTTTGAGTGCATATAAATTACCATTGGAAACCAATTTTCACAAAGGACTACTGTGGTAGCCCAGAACAAACAGGGAACAGCTGGCTTTAATATCTGCAGTCTTCCTCTTCATCACATAAAGATTTTAATTGTCCAGAAATTGAGATGGCATAAAACTCTATAGTCCAAGTTCTTTGTTCAGCATCTTCTTCTCCTCTTAGGTGCTGAAAAGCATAAGAAAATTTAGAAGTTCAATAGGTTTAAATAGATGGTACCAGAAAACAAACAATGCTTCCCGTATTACCTAGAGTTTCATTTTTTAGGGCCCAAAAATAAAAAGATAAATATATTTATCCTGATAATTGACAGCTGGCTCCCTGAGTACTTTTACTTCTTTATACTATACATGAACTACATGGCTTAAATATGGGTTTTTAATTGTAATACTGAAAATATTAAATAACAGTACAGAAACAAATTTTCTGACCTCAACCATATTGGTTTAAGAACATAAGAAATTACAACTCTAATCTGCAAATGAAATTTTCCTTTAGAATGACTCTAGAGAGTCAACACTTATGTTGAAATCTAGTCATCCAAAAACATGTTTAGGTGAAAGGCTACTCTAGAGTTACAGTAGAAGAGTTTCTGCATTAAAATGGAAAATTCTGAAACACAAGAGTAAAGAAATATGTAAATATTAGGGTTCTTCAGTGGTTTCATATATGTTTCTGTGTGTGTGTGTGTGTGTGTGTGTGTGTGTGTGTGTGTGTGTGTGTGTTTGCCTAACCAAACAGACCAGGAGCTCTAGGAAACAAAAAAAAAAGAGGGTGGGAGAATAAATATTTATTATTAATTATTATTTATTTACTATGTGCCAGGCACTGGGTTCAAATATCTCATTACACTTACTAGCTATGTGTTACTGGGCAAATTACTTAATCTCTATTGGCTTCAGTTTCCTCTGTAAAACGAGGCAGGTTGGACCAAAGGTTCTCTTCTAGCTCTAACCCATGATCCTACATTGGTTTAATATTATAATAACTATAAACATAACAGACCATATTGATAACAAAAACAGTCAGAAACACAACAAACAACTGACACAGAAAAAGCTTTTGGCAAAATACAATATCCCTTTATGCTACAAATATTAAAAAGAATAGGAATAAATGGAATATTCCTTAACATGCTAAACTAACTACCTAAACTAAACAGCTAGCATTATCTATAATAGAAAAACACTAGAGACCTTTCCGATAAATCATTCCATTGTCATCACTACTATTTGGCATAGCTCTAGAAATATCAGCTTTAGCCAAAAGACAAGAAAAAGAAATTAAGAGAATAAGCACAGACAAAAAGGAAACAAAATCACAATTCTTTGCAGACACGATTTTTTTACTCAGAAGAACCTAAAATTCAACTAACAATTACTTGGAAAGTTTCTAACTTTAGCAAAGCAGGAGTACATAAAACAAACCACAAAAATCAACAGTTTTTCTGTATTATTAACAAAACTCAATAGGAGAAATAGAAAAAGAAATTCCATTCAAAATTAGCACAGCATGGAGAGTACCCCTACTAAGATACAGAAAGAATTATATGAGTCCAACTACAAAACACTGTAAGAATAAAGATAAGCCCAAATAACTGGAAAAATATTAACCACTCATGGTTGGACCATGCCAATATAATAAAAATGGTAATACCTCAACTAATTTACAGAGTCAATGCCATCCCAATCAAACTACCCAAAGGTTATTTTATAACTAGAAAAAATAACAACAAAATTCACCTGGAGACACAAATATAACCCAAAGAAAAGAAAAAACCCCAGAGCAATTCAAAAAAGAGGAAAAGCACTCATATGCACAAAATATTTATAAGAGTACTTTTTGTTGTATCAAAGTCCTAGAGACCAAGTGGATACTAATAAACTGGGAAATGATGAACAAATCATGGGATATGAAGGTAAAGTAAAACTGCACCATAAAGACAGGATGAAAGGGACAGATTCAGAGAAACCTAGGATATGAATTGATAGAGAGGGAAGGAGGCAGAATCAGGAGCACCATTTATGCAATGACTATAATTGGCCAGCAAGGTGGATGGAGTTCTGGGGCTTGGGGTCAGGAACACTTCTCTCTCTGAGTTCAAATCTGGCCTCAGACACCTACTAGCTATGTGACCCTGAGCAAGTTACTTAGCCCTGTTTGCCTCAGTTTACTCAACTGTAAAACAAGCTAGAGTAAGAAATGGCAAACTACTCTACGGCCTTTCCCAAGAAAACCCCAAATGAGATCAAGAAGAGCTGGAATACAACTGAACAATATCAACAACATAATATGGCAAGGGAAAACTATGAAAGACTTAGGAAAGTTAATCAATGTAATGACCAGTTAGAACTCCAGAAGACGGATAATAACTCGTGTTTCCCACTTTTGGGCAGAAGTGATAGGCTAGAGGTTAGATTGAAATATACATTTTCAGATCCAGCCAATGTGGTGATTTGTTTTGCTACATAAAAAAAAATTTTTTTTGAAGGAGGGAGAGGGGAACAGTGATGCCAAGAAAAGGAAGAGACAAATATTTTAAAAATAGAGAAGAGAACAGAAGAGAGCTCAGAAGGGGATGCAGCCATGCAAGGCAGTTTGGGTACTACCATGTTTCATTTTACTGTATGACCTGTGTAGAGATTTAGTTTTATATACAATCATCTTTTTCTATGCTTCTTTGTATAAGGAAATGTTCACATTTATTGGCGTTTGTCAAGTTCATATGTTAAAAGGTTCCTTTTGAGCCCCTGCCTCTGGGCGTCCTAACCATACCACCATTACCAAAATCTCCAGCCCCCAAAAGAATCCCTACAAGTCAGAAGTCTACTCTCACCACCGTCAGAGATGCTGCTGCTATTCTGAAATCTCCTGTCATCAAAGCCAATAATTCCTACTCAAGGACCAAAGAGGAAAAAGTCCTAATCCATACAGATCCCAAACTTCTGCTATCAGTGTCCCTGTAGGAGTCTCTACAGCCCGAAGTGCCAAGAGAAATGCTGCTGAAAAACTGAGAGTTCCCAATCATGGCGGATTAGATTAGGCAGTTCTTATACTTGAAACCAGAGTTATTATGATATCCTATTCCAGGAATATCCAAAGCCCTAGTACCTAGTATTAGAAAAGCCGAAGACAAGAAAGTTACTCTGCTAGGTTCAGGGAGAGAATAGGTAAGGAAGGGGTTCTTCCTTACATTCTCAGAGAAAAAAGAGATCTGTTTCTGGTGTTATAGTTGTAACCCCCTACCTGTCCCCAGAAACAATGGTATAGACCACGACTGGGTTTAGGATTGAGCTATATTACAAATTAAATAAGTTTTCATGAAGTACTGTAGAAATCTAACCAACATTAATAACACTCTTTCTATAAGGAAATAACAATAGGTCACATAGTGTACTTTTACATAAATTAAGCCATGTGATTTTATAACAATTCTATGAAACAGGCAGTGCAAATATCATCCATATTTTATAGTAGGGAAAACAGGGTCAGAGAGGCTCAGCAGCTTGAGCTTCTGTCTCCAGAGGTCACACCTAGCTTTCTGCCTTTCTTTTCTTTTGCTTTTCTATCTACTGCCTCCCAAAAAACAACATTCCAAATGACAAACAACAGGCTGAGAAACAGACCTCTGAGACACATGCAACATTGGAAACTGCTGGTACACATAACAGAATGACAAGGCTCATCATTAATTCAGAAGCCATCCTCCAAATATGCCACTTGACTATCTTAGAATCAGGGGAGAAGAACTGGGCACACAGATCCTAAACTGAGGAGAACAAATTCTAAGAGTTCAGAAAGAGCAAAATATCCTATTCTATAGGTTCATGGCCTGAAATTCTACAGGCAGCTGGGCAATGGAAAGAAAATCTAGGTTGAGGGGGCGGAGCCAAGATGGCAGAATAAAAGCAGTGACTTGCCTAGCTCTCCCCCAAACCCCTCCAGATACCTGTAAAAAATGGCTCTAAACAAATTCCAGAGCAGCACAACCCACAAAAAGGCAGAGTGAAACAAATTTCCAGCCCAAGATAACCTGGATGGTTGACCGGAAAGGTCTGTTGCGCTAGGCTGGGAGAGGAGCACAGTTCAGCATGGGCCACACAGGCAAAAACCAGGCCCCAGCAAACCTGGAGCAGGCCTCGGGGGACTGAATCAAAGGGAGCTACGGTAGTTTCCAGACTTTTCAACCCACAAACACCAAAGACAACTTAGAAGGTCAGTAGGAAAGGTCTGTCGGACCTCCTTCAGAGAGATGCTCAGTCTGGCCCCAGTCCTGGTGCAGCCTCAGGGCAGCAGCTGCTTCTGGAGCACACAGACAGAGGGGGAATCGAGTGGCTGATCAGAAGGGGGATTGCAGGGATCTCTTTGCTGGGGCTGAAGCAGGATTCTCTTGCTTTGCCTATGCTTGGATCTGGGTTGAAGCCCTGGGCAGTGGTCCTGGGGCAAGGGGGAGCACTGGCGTGATGGAGCTTGTGGCAGTGGTAGAGAGGGAATCCTCCTCACAGTTTCAAGGCAGAAAAGAGTGCTTGTGGTCACTCACAGACCACAGCACAGTCCAGAATGGAGTAAACACCTCGCCTTTGATCACACCACTTCAGCAGAACTGAAAATTTATAGGTCCCTAGAAGTATCTCTGAAAACAGCTACATAAAACCCCTGAATCTTGGGACAGTACATTCTCCACACTGGAAGCAGACCCCCTACCTTAACAAAGAGTTTAATAGTCAAGTAATTGGCTGGGAACATGAGCAAACAGCACAAAAAAAGTCAGATCACAGAATCTTACTTTGGTGACAAAGAAGATCAAACCATACAACCAGAAGAAGACAACAAAGTCAAAGTTCCTACATCAAAAGCCTCCAAGAAAAATATGAATCAGTCCCAGGCCATGGAACAGCTCAAAAAGGACGAGAAGAAACTGGGTTCAAATGTCAATTCAATGAGTTACTCTGTATGTAACAATGAATAAGTCACACCCTCTGTTTCCTCATCTGTAAAATAAGGGTAGACTAGATTATTTTGAAGGTCCCTTCCAACTCTAAATCTACAAACAATGAGCTATAAGAGGGTTAAAGCTGATAGCTTCTGAGGTCCCTTTCAGCTCCAAATCTATTACCCTGTAACTTCCTTTATCAAAAATGATAAATAAGTACACTTTCTTCCCCCTC